CTTGTGAACCTCGGAAACCTTTCATACCTTGTGAACCTCGGAAACCTTTCATACCTTGTGAACCTCGGAAACCTTTCATACCTTGTGAACCTCGGAAACCTTTCATACCTTGTGAACCTCGGAAACCTTTCATACCTTGTGAACCTCGGAAACCTTTCATACCTTGTAAACCTCGGATACCTTTCATACCTTGTGAACCTCGGAAACCTTTCATACCTTGTGAACCTCGGAAACCTTTCATACCTTGTGAACCTCGGAAACCTTTCATACCTTGTGAACCTCGGAAACCTTTCATACCTTGTGAACCTCGGAAACCTTTCATACCTTGTGAACCTCGGAAACCTTTCATACCTTGTGAACCTCGGAAACCTTTCATACCTTGTGAACCTCGGAAACCTTTCATACCTTGTGAACCTCGGAAACCTTTCATACCTTGTGAACCTCGGAAACCTTTCATACCTTGTGAACCTCGGAAACCTTTCATACCTTGTGAACCTCGGAAACCTTTCATACCTTGTAAAAAAAGTAACTACTTTTCTTACTTTAAGACGATTGTTGCGTAGAATGGAAAATATCCAAAAGAAAATTAATAATATCTTGGTTAGCTTGAGATGATTTCGGGGCTTAGCGTCCCCGCGGCCCGGTCCTCGACCAGGCCTCCTTTTTTGTTACAACCCCCCCCCCCCCTCGGGAAGTAGCCCGTAGCAGCAGCTGTCTAACTCCCAGGTACCTATTTACTGCTAAGTAACAGGGTGGGCATCAGGGTGAAAAAAATATTTTGCCCATTTGTCTCCGCCTCCACCGGGGATCGAACCCGGAACCTCAGGACTACGAATCCGAAGCGCTGTCCACCCAGCTGTCAGGCGCCCCTTAGTAGTCACAATGTTGTTTTATTAAGACCTGGATAGGACTTGAACAATTATTGTTTATTTATTTAGGACTTGGATTGATAGAGAGCGGTAATCTTTGCGGCCTAAGGATGTGTAATAGACAAGCTCTAAGACATTTATGTACCAGATGCGTTGGCCCGAGGGAGTTCCGTCGTTACCTAACGTTAAGGGGGGGGGGGGCAAGATCATAGCGCTTCGAAGATCGTAAATTGTTTAGTGAATAACGTCTTAGCCTCTATGATAGAGATAAGAGCGCGACTCTCGTAACTCAGCGTGGGAATGCAGGCAGCGAGCACTCTGGGAGACCGTATTTCTGGCTTTCTCAATGAAAACGGAGCTTACTGAGATCAACTGCCTTGGATAACACGATGGACACGGGTTTAAATAAGAGTGAATGTCCTGTATACCCCAGTGACAACGGGGCCACAGCAGGAATACAGTCCTTGTATTCCTCATTGATAACGGGCCAGAGCAGGAATACAGTCCTTGTATTCCTCAGTGACAACGGGGCCACAGCAGGAATACAGTCCTTGTATTCCTGAGTGACAACGGGGCCAGACCTGAGGAATACAGTCCTTGTATTCCTCAGTGACAACGGGGCCAGACCTGAGGAATACAGTCCTTGTATTCCTCAGTGACAACGGGCAAGACCTGAGGAATACAGTCCTTGTATTCCTCACTGACAACGGACCAGAGCAGGATTACAGTCCTTGTATTCCTCAGTGCTAGACCAGGATTAAATTCCCTAAATGTCCAAAGACCTGAAAGTTTCAGTATTATAAGCTATGACAGCTTTTGTATTTGTATTTGTAGACCGTCGCTCTCTGGACGGTAGAGCGACGGTCTCGCTTCATGCAGGTCGGCGTTCAATCCCCGACCGACCAAGTAGTTGGGCATACAGGAGCATATTGTATGGTCAGCGCAGTAATCGGACCAGAGTGATGTTGTCATTGCGCGAATTCGCCTCGGCTATCGGCACCTCTGTAAACTTTGTGACACAGCTGTAAAAGGCATTGACTTGAACACTGCATCATTGAATTTGAAACTGTAAAAGATTTGTACAGTTACAATCAACTATGTAACTATTTTATTGAATCTGGGATATTGGAAGACATCCTAATAATTTATCCTAAATTTGTTTATCCATATTAAAGAATGAAGATTATTTTTTTTTAAGCTGCATCTCTTATAAATCCATCCCTACCTTGTGTGGTTACATTTCAAATTCGTAAATTTGAAAGTCGTATAATGTGTGATGTAGTAGATTGTAGCCTCATGAACTATTGATGCGCTTCAATCTACAATTTAGACCAACTGTCTGGTGTATAGTACTCTATCCTGTATGGCAGGGAGTACCAGCAGTATACTCTAATAAGTCCTTATTGTATTACTACGATTCCTCAGGTCTTAGATCCGTCTCGGGAGAGAAGAGGCAGGCAGCGAGAGGGTTATACAAGCTAAAAGATTCTTGAGGCATTGATAAATATCGACAAAAAACGGTTGAGCACGATCAAGAGACCATGAGCTGGAGCTCAACCTTAACAAACACAGTATTCGCACACCGTAGTCAATGGCACACGCTTGCAGGTCAATCCTTGCCAAGTATGTATGTCGACGTTGTTGTTTTAGATTCAGCTCCGAGTAGTGGCAAGTAGCACGGGATATGGCGAGCCCGTAGTGGGCTTGCCTGACACACGAACGGCAAGTAGCACGGGGTATGGCGAGCCCGTAGTGGACTTATCCGGCACTGAAGCGGGGTCTGTAACTGCGGTGGTTTGTCGACCGTGCAGCACTCGTCATCACACAAACCACTGCCACCACCAGTTACTTCCTCTCGCTTCGTCTCCTTCGCTGCCGTCTCACCTATCTGTTGGAGAGGGTCGTCAGTCTATCAAGAGGCAGGTCCATCAATCCCCCACCCCCTCCACCATCTGTCTTTCCCCTCCATCTATCTTAGCTTTGCTTAACGTAAGAGTTCCATCTACTTTGTCGCAGTCACATTTTGCCCCACGATAAAGGTAGCTGTCTGTGTGAGCTCACTTAGTTGTGCTTGCGGGGGGTTGAGCTTTGGCTCTTTGATCCCGCCTCTCAGCTGTCTTATCAACTGGTGGTCAGGTTCCTAGCTGAGCCTATTGTGCTCTATCATATCTACATTTGTAACTGTACATTCTCACATATTTTTGAGTTTGTTGATATTCACGTTAGTACGTACTCACCTAGTGGTATTCCTCTATTTGTGTCTGTCAGATCGAGATTGAACTTTTGAACCTTGCTTCATAGCTCTCTGTCATCTGATGCAATATGTGTGTGTGTGTGTGTGTGTGTGTGTGTGTGTGTGTGTGTGTGTGTGTGTGTGTGTGTGTTGCAGGTCTGTAGGCAGGTTGTTGTGTATCTCTCGTGTGTATAGCAATGAAGGTATGTGTATATGGTATATGTGGTGAATGGAGGAGAAGACACACACACACACACACACACACACACACACACACACACACACACACACACACACACACACACACACAAATCCTCAGGGGGGAATCGACCGGGTAAACAAGGATGAACTATTCAACACTGGTGGGACGCGAACAAGGGGACACAGGTGGAAGCTGAGTACCCAAATGAGCCACAGAGACGTTAGAAAGAACTTTTTCAGTGTCAGAGTAGTTAGTAAATGGAATGCATTAGGAAGTGATGTGGTGGAGGCTGACTCCATACACAGTTTCAAATGTAGATATGATAGAGCCCAATAGGCTCAGGAATCTGTACACCAGTTGATTGACGGTTGAAAGGCGGGACCAAAGAGCCAGAGCTCAACCCCCGCAAGCACAATTAGGTGAGTACAATTAGGTGAGTACACACACACACACACACACACACACACACAGAGTGCGAGCGATCACTTGACCCCCAAGAGATACCAGTTTCGTCCCGGTACACTGGTTGACGACTCCCACACAACCTCTCTCCCTGATTGAATTAAACTAAGTGGGAAGCTGTTAATTGGCGGCAATGGCGCGCGCGAGCGCATGTGTGTGTGTAGTGAAGGAGGCGCTGCTGGTGTGATGTCCGCAGGAAAAGTTTGGGGACCACTTGAGGATAGCGAGCGGGGCCATTTGGGCGGCCCACCACCGCCTCCAGCCGCTAGCCACAGTAAACGCTAGCAGGCGGGCCGGGCCGGGCCGGGCAGGGCAGGGCCCCTACCGTTCACAACACTCTCCATTCCTACTTTATTGTTCCAGATTTTTTTTTTCCGTTTCACCTCCGGGCAGGTTTGCTATATTGCATTTTTGGCTTTTGTGGCAGGAATTTGTTGTTTTCGTGATGGAAAGCGGCATGCATGATAGAGCGATGTTCTATACCTGCCATTTATATTTTATAAAGCTGTAGGTATTGTTTGATCCTGCCATAAATAATTTTAATTAATAAGTGTATATATATATATATATATATATATATATATATATATATATATATATATATATATATATATATATATACACAGGGCTATTTCTGAGGCTTTATGCTGAAATTTCAATTATTCTTCTCCGACCGTCAGTAGTCACCTGGCCTGACTCCTCCACCTCACCCCTCCGTCAGTACACACCTGGCCTGACTCCTCCACCCCCCCCCTCCGTCAGTACACACCTGGCCTGACTCCTCCACTCCCCCCCCCCCCTCCGTCAGTACACACCTGGCCTGACTCCTCCACCCCCCCCCCTCCGTCAGTACACACCTGGCCTGACTCCTCCACTCCCCCCCCCCCTCCGTCAGTACACACCTGGCCTGACTTCACCTCCCCCCTCCGTCAGTACACACCTGGCCTGACTTCACCTCCTCCACTCCCCCCCCCCTCCGTCAGTACACACCTGGCCTGACTTCACCTCCCCCCTCCGTCAGTACACACCTGGCCTGACTCCTCCACCCCCCCTCCGTCAGTACACACCTGGCCTGACTCCTCAGCATCACCTGCCATTCACCAAAGGTTAGCTTTAATTGGATTTGCCGGTGGGTGTTGGACGATAGTCAGCCGAAGGCGCTGGCCTATACAAGAGGTCGGTCGTCGTAGCCTCGACCCTCTCCCTGTGTGGACTCCTCAGGGCCCCCCACACAGGGAGGCCTGACGGCGGAGTGGACAGCGCTCGGGATTCGTAGTACTAAGGCTCAGAATAAAATATTTGTACGTGTAATGGCAAACTCGTGTGGGGGACCCGCGTTCACTAGTGTTTCTCGTTAAAGATGTGGCTTTGTGTCTAATTACAAGTCTCTTTGTGAAGTAAAGAAAAAAAGCACCTTCTTTTCTCACTGTGTTTAATGTGAGATCTCATTCCTATTTCTTATCCAGGCTGTTAATTATCAGCAGTATCTGTAATTGTCAAGGTTTATAGACGCCATTTCCCACATCTCCTCTGAAGAATATTGAGTTCGTTGTCGCCATCTTACCCCTAAGTCTTCGGCTGATCTGTCTCGTTAGTTTGGTATCGTCAGCATCTTAAGATTATAGTTGCTGCCTCCTCACGTGGCCTCGACGGGCTCCTGGGGGCTGTCCGGGTCGTGTTCCGTGTACTCTTGCTGAAGTTAAACTTTGTCCTAGTGTTCCTCCGGGTCAACAGTTTCACCAGCA